TTCAAAACTTGTTTATGGATATTCAAAAACCCGTACGGTTTTCGCAATATTTCAAGGTTTTCTCTGTTCAGTAATCACTCTTACTCAAAAATAATATCATATTCGGAATCAGCGTGAAAAACTGCATCGAATGGTGTACATATCATCCCCAAACTAATGGTCAAACTGAACGTTTCAACGCTACATTTGCAACACAGTTATCCAAATATTGTGATGAAGAAAAATCAAATTCGGATCTTTATCTACCATCCATTGTTTACGTCTACAATCATGGTCAACATCGTTCTACGGAGTTCACTCCGTACCAACTCCCCTTCGCTCGTATGCCTCGTAATCCATTTGATCATCCGCAAACAGAATTCAAATTCTCACGTCCTAAAGATTATTGGACTGAAATTCAACGCTTCAAAGCGATTACTAACAAGATGGCTCGTTCAAACATTCAATACCAACAAACATTGACAAAACAGCGTTATGATCGAAATAGATCCAGTCCTGTTTACAACACTGGTGATCTCGTTTGGCTCAAAATATTAATCGGCCAATCAAAGTTAGATGAACGATATCGTAGTCCCTATCGACTTACTGATAAAACGACTGCAGTTAATTACAGGTTAGATGATGATGATGGTGCATTGGTGGCACACGTCAATAACTTATTACCGGTTTATGAACGCTTGGTTTAGTTGACTGCTTGTTTTCTGTTTTGTTGTCACCACTCCCTTTTTCCGATGAGCCGGGTGGCTCATCTTGAAACCACAGGGGAGTGTTATGTCAGTCGTCACTGACATTCCTTCCTCTTCCTCTTGTCCACTTCTCATTATCACAAAGTATGTGGACTCAGTTCTTCTTGAGTCAACATTCTTTCTTCACCTATATAGAGTGTCTGTTTGTACACACCGAGTCAGTTTTTTTTGTTTTGACGTTTTGTGTGATTTTATTCTTTCGAATAAAATCGATGCAAGCTAGCAGAAACATTATTTAGATTGGTTCCAGCTTTTACTAAAAGGTCAAAAACAAGAGAGTTCTTGTGATTATGACACACTGTAGTGCTTAGATAACACCCAAAAGCTTCTTTTCCATATCTTTAATGGCTGGCCCGACCTGTCCGGATATTGTGACCAACTCACTTTATAGAGAATTTCAAGGGCTATCCAGTGGTATGTTTCCGAACAATAATTTACAATAATTACATAATTTTCATTATGGCAGAAAAACGACTAACAGAGTGTTGATAGCACAAGGATACGTCAAAAGCATCATATCGGCCAAGTGTTTCAACTGTTGACTCGTGGACATAATTCTGAAAGGTTCATTTATAGCTCATTTTGAAGCTCGTGAAATTCTCTATTGAATGGTATATCTATCGTAATGGCTAGTTGAGAAACGTTGATCATAGAATCCTCACCGTGGAATAAGTCACCCACTTTTCACGGCTTTGCAGAAAGTATTTCTAATGTCAGCGGGTCCTAGGACACTTTTTACACTATCATATATGTATGAGCTTGTAGTGCGAGAAATTCTCTACCGATTGGTATATTTATCGTAGTGGCTAGATGATAAAGGGTGTCATAGATTACCTTAGACTGTTTGCATATAGGAGATTATTTTCCATAGACCGAAGTATTTCTAAACATACTTGGCCTCAGACGGACTATTTCCGTATATGTGATATACAGAAATATAGCGCAGAAAAAGAGCTTTCGAATGACATATGATAGTTCTACTGAGGTATGCGACCGAGAGACATACACTCGATAATATGATCAGTAATAGGTGTCAGAAGTGATTACAGTTAATTGGATTCAATTTTTTCTGAGAGCAATTCTAAGGTCTACCGAGTGGCTAGAAATGCTTTCCTGTTCCTTCTGCATCTAACCATGTATGTGTCGATGGTATTTAAGCAGGAGCCGATTCCATCAAATAATCGCCCCCGTCCTTTGACGCTAAAGGACTATAGCGCTCACACAACAATCTCTTAATATAGAATATCTCGTGAGAATCAAATTAAGATAGATAATTACTGAAGTTGGCAGCAAAATATTAAAATCTATTAAAAAATATGGAAAAGAAGTATGGTAGGAAGGGCAGACCGCGAGATTATATTGTCAGATGAATCCCGATATTGATATTATACGATTTTAATAAAACAGTATTTGAGTTTGCCGCGATTGCGAATTGGCCAGGACCTCTTTGCGCTGGTAGTTGAAGAAAATCTTGACTTACATAGATCATATGCCCTAATACCATGAGCTCATGGTATTAATTCAGCGGTTGGTAATTGAGAGTGAACGCCCAATATGCAAATGCAACCGAAGGGCGGAAGCCTAAGGTCTCTTTCTTCGTCTGCTCAAAATTTATTAAAAAAAACATCGGACTCCGTTATATTTTTGAATGGATAGTAGCTTTAACAATACATTTTGTACAATGTACACCGTATGTCATATGCATCCCTGTAAAACCGTCGTAATTTCAGCAATGAGTGTAAATAGTGCGGTGATGATGCAGACAGTGTCATTTTGGGTATGATGGTGTATGATTGTGTAGGTGAACATTGATCACGGTATGAAGAATACAATAGTTTCATAGCATTGTTGAATCATCAAATGTTTAAGTAATTTTGTCACTGAATATATTAGATTGATATTTACTTGGTATACATGGACTTAGAGCAGTGAAATTGATTAAGCTAATATTTAATGGATTAAACCGGATGCAGTGTCGGATTTTGCTTTTTCAACTATTCTGATGAAAACCGCGAAGACATATTTAAGTCGTGAAAATATGTCTTAATTATAGCCTCACCGTTTTTCCTTAATTTGCTAAATGAATTATAAAAATTTCCGCAATAAAATGTTTATGTTGAAGGACCTTGAAATCCAAATATAGTTATGAATTGTAGATCAAAGTTTTTTGAAAAAATTAACGCTGTTTCTTTCTTGAATTAAATGATGAATATCGTGCCTTTACTCTCAATACAAACTGCTATGAACTGTGCCACTTAATCATTAACTAAGTACAATTCTTCAGTCCTTTTCTGAACAATGGTGTTCAATTAACGACGAAGTATTCTATATTTTTTTCATTCGTCACGCACACTTTTACCACCATTAATCAGCTTACGTTTTAACGACGCAGATGGATGTACCAAAAGATGAAAGAGCAATTATTACGTAGTTTCAATATAGCGCAGAAAAAGAGCCTCGAATGACATATCATAGTTCTAGTAAGGTATGACGCCGAGAGAGACACACTCGAAAATATGATCGATAATACGTATCAGAAGGAGCAGAACTTTGATTACAGTTAATTGGAGCCAATTTTTTCCGAGAGCAATTCTAAGGTCTGCCGAGTGCCTAAAAATGTTCTCCTGTTCATCCTGCATTCTGCGTATATATGTGTCGATGAAATTCAAGCAGGAGCCGATTTTATCAAATAATCGGCCCCGTGCGTTCCACTCTGGAAAAAAGTGGAAACACTGCTCCTTTGAAATATACCAGTGGTAAGAAGAAACCGTAAGAATTGAACAGAGTTGATTTTGACAAAAAGTATTCATGGCCATCAACAGTATGGCTAAAATTTTGCTTAAAAATCGCTTCTGTAAACATCTCTGGTTATAATAATAATCAATGGAATTCAAAGTTCATGCGTGATACGTGATACTATCCATGTTTTAAAAAAGCCTTAGATACTCGAGTCTTCAATTGCCCGCGAGCCGAGCCTCGAGCCGTGGCTCTACGAGCTGGATCGAGTGCGATCTGATTTTATAATATTACTGTCGAGCCGAGCCGAGCCGAGCTACAAGTCGCTATCTGGTGAGCTGTGGCGAGTGCGAGCCGGGGGAAGGCATGGCTCGCCCACCTCTGGTTCATACGTCGAATAATTTATAATACGTTGCAACACAAAAAATTTGATAGTAAATTATTTCAGCCGAATGAATAATTCCTCTTTTCATTTGTCTTTCCTTCCTTGTATCCACGTTTCACTCAAATGCTTGTTAATCACGTTCCTATAATTTGTCATTTTCTTTCCCCATCACTAATTTGCTTCAACTTTTGACTGCATCATGAAATGGAACTATCTGTACATTGAGCACAACACACGCGAAGCTTAATTCATCGTTTTTTTTAAAGAAAAAATAATATTTCGTTATGGCTGATACAATCGGGTATTTATCATTTATTGCCGTCCAACTTGATCGTTTCCTGTCGATACCGATTTTATTTTTTGGGACAACTGGAAATCTTTTGAACATCATTATATTGACACGACCAACGTTACGAAAAAATTCATGCAGTATCTGTTTTCTTTTTTCAACCATCTCAAATTTATTTTCGCTGTGGTTTGGACTCTTATCACGTCTGTTATCGGGCTATAATCGTGATCCGACTGAAGATTCATCGATTGCTTGTAAATTTCGATTTTATATTACTTATTTATCATTAACACTTTCTGGATGGTTTTTGATTCTTGCATGTTTCGATCGGTATGCATCATCGAGTTCAAGTGTTCGTATGAGAATGTTTAGTTCCCCACGTATGGCGTATCGTCTTATTCTATGCATCAGTGTTATTGGTTTTCTCGTGTATCTGCAAGTATTCTATTGTTTTTCAGCGAACCTCGATCAGTTTCCAGTTACATGTTATGCCTCAAATTTAGTCTGTCGAACATATAATGACTTGAATTTTTTAGTGTCATATGGTGTAGTTCCACCGATATTCATGCTTTCGTTAGGAATGTTAACAATACGAAATACAAGAAAAATTCAACGACGAGTTGGGCTCACTGATGTGACTCGTCTACGTCATCGCGATCGACAATTGATTTCAATGCTAATCGTTCAAGTTATTCTATTTGTTATCTTTGTTTTACCTGTTTCTGTATCAAAATTATATACAACGTTAACATTGAACATGATAAAAAGTCCTATAGCTTTGGCAAAAGAAAGTTTCTTCTTTCAAGTATCAGTTTTAATTTCATATTTTAATTGCTGCATTAGTTTTTACATATACACACTGACTGGAAAAAATTTTAGACGAGAATTACTACGAATGATTTGAAATATTAGCCCGATATCACCACTTGAACTTTAACCCGCACATATGGAATTATCATTGTGTAACGATTCGACGACCATCGACATTATTACTAGCCGGCAACACATTGATTGTCATCATGTTGCTGGTTTCTCGAAAACTTGTTCTGGATCTTTTTCTAAAATGCTATAAAATCATCAAAAGAAAACTCGAGCAAACGCGTATAATGGAATCTAGCTTTACGCTTTAAGAGCCACCCCCTCAGAATGAAATCTTTTTGTATCAAAACATCAATATGGAGAAGCACATGAAAAGATAGCGTGGAGTATCTAATTTCAGAATCGGTATCGCTTTCTGGCGTAGAACTGGTTTTTCGTGGTTTTCGAGGAAGTTTTCTTCGAGCAGCCTTTAAAACCAAATAATAATTTTTTCTGGACACTTACGCAAGTAAATTTTTTTGAAACACGCAGATTTGTAGAGCAAACGTTTCTGATCAAAATAAGACGTTACCCGGCTCGGTGTGATCTTGCGTTCAAAACTGATAAGCATTTTCTTACATGTCCTAAAATAGACCAAGAAATGCACAGCGTACGAAATGGAAGTAATTTAATACATATATGCTGGTACATTAACATAAATATATAACTTCC